CCCCCCATTGGTCTGACCCTCCAGGTGCTGACGGCCTCCGGGAGCAGCCACAAAGTCGACGTCTTCACCAACTTCAGCTACCGGGCGTTTTCCCTCTGCTTCGCATAGCGCCCCCCAGCGTTCCCCGATCCCTGTTCAAGTCCCTCCACCCCCGCTCTCTGCCCCCAATCCCCTCTTCCCACCCCAGAGCCCCCCAAGTCCCCTCTCCCTGCTCCCTTTTGGGTTTTTTCTCTTCTGTTTTTTTTAATAAAATTGGGGTGATACTGATCCCCCCTGCCCCATCTCTGTGCCCCGGAGGTTCCTGCGGCTCAGGGGTTTGGCCAGGAGATCTGGAGCTGGGGGGGGAGGGTGCACGGAGCAGTCACCCCACAGATCTGGGGGTGCATTAAGGCGGTGTTGGACTTGGAGGGCAGGGAGTGCGTTTAGCCAACCTGTGTTACCCAGAGCCGTGTGGAGAGCCCCAGCTGGGCCCCTTGGCACGGGGCATGCAGGCGGTTCCGCCTCCAGCCTCGCTCCGGCCTCCCTGACTGCGCCCAGCTCTGGTGTGCGGCCTGCTGCTGTTTTGGTCACAGCTCGCGTTACAGCTACTCCGCCTCAGCCCAGGCCGCTGGGCTGGGGGCTCTCTCTGCCCGGTAGCTGGCCCTGGGGCAACTGTGGCTGGGGGACCTGGCTCCGCGCTCGCAGCCCGGGCTGCTGGGGAGCCTGGTGTGGGCGGCTCAGCGGGGACCGCGCGGACGGGAATGGGGGCGACAGCAGCGATCGCAGGGGGCACCAGCCTAGATCAGAGAAGGAGCCCTGGGGGTCCTGGTCCCAGGGTTACGTGCAGCAGGAGACACTGGAACTGAGAGTCTGAACGTGGGAGGTTCTGTAATGGGTGTGACAGCGGGGAACTGCCCCAGGGAGGGGAGGGGAGCTAAGCAGCAAATCCTCCATCTAAGAGGCAGCCCCCCCTTGCTCCACCAGCCCCCACTCCGCTCCCAGAGCTGGAGAGAGAACCCAGGAGTCCTGGCTCCCAGCCCCCGCCCCCCCCGCTCTAACCCACCAGCCCAGACTCCCCTCCCAGAGCCGGCAAGAGGACCCAGGAGTCCTGGCTCCCAGCCCCCGCCCCCCCCGCTCTAACCCACCAGCCCAGACTCCCCTCCC